CAAAAGACGTGACACTGAGGGATAGGAACAGGTGAATGCATGTCTGGGTACTCTGTGGTCTACTTTGATCTAGGGTGACCAGCTGCAGGGTTCCTGAAAGTGGATGGTGTTCCCAGCCTCCTGAGTCTCTTTGTAGTTCACCACTGCATATTCCAAGCTAGCTGGAAGAGCTTGCAGAGAATGTTCTGTGTCTGCCTCCTTTATAGGTGCATGGGGATCACAGACTTGCATCACCCTGCTGGGCTTTTTATACGTTCTGGGACTTTAGATCCAAGTCCTTACGCTTTGTACAGCAAATGCTTGGCCCACTAAGCTGTCTCCCCAGTCTTGTTTTTGTTTTATTGAGACAGTGTAGCCCAGGCTAGCCTTGAACTTGTTGTGTAATTGAGATAACCCTGAACCTCTAATTCTGATCTTCCTGCCTGTACCTCCTGAGGGGCGGGATCGTGGGAATGGGCTGTCACACTGAGCTCCCTCTCCGTCCCTTCTCTATAGTCTGACTTTGTTATAAGTTTCATCCAGGCCTACTGCTTTATACCAATGCTCTCAGCAGTGAGAAAGCTGAGGCAAGAGGATTGCTAAGATTCTGAGACCAGCCTGAGCTACACAGTGAGTCTAGGGCCTGCCTGGGTTATGTTGAAATCTTAAATGTCCTCCCCTGCCTCCAGCCCTGCAGAATCTTTACATTAGAAACTTAAAATGACTTCTTCCTTAACAGACACGAAATTATTCCAAAATACCTTTGACTTGTTTGGAGAAGTCATATTCCTTAGTAATTACCACGGTATATTTTCTCTCTTTGTGGCCTCTCCTGGTCTTTTTTATGCCCTTGCTGCTCTAGGTGTCCTTGAAGCATGGGTTTAGGAATCTGTGAGGAATTTCCTAATCTATTCCCAAGAGACCCACCACATTACGTTACCCAGCTTGAAAGGACCTCGTATTTCACCTCTATTGCTTGGGACTTGGTTTGGTGACATGTTCTAAGATGTAGACACCTTCTGCATGAATACCTTAGCTTCCTGTCCCTTTCTTTGTATCAAATGGATTCCCCTGTACAAATGGATCATGTTCTGTAGAGAAAATTGATAAAAACAAAACAAACAGACAAAAAAACTGCTATTTAAATGTTTCTAGCTGGGTATGGTAGCATATACCTATAGTCTCAATATGGCAGAAGCAGGAGGATTACTGAAGTTTAAAGCTAGTGTGGGCTATGACCCCTGGCTAAAAAAAAAAAGCAAGGAAGATGGTAGCTCATACATGTAATCCAAGCACTTGAGAGATAGAATCCCAAGGATCAGTTCAGGGTCATTATCCTTACAGAGCAAGCTCAAAACTAACTTGTGTTGCATGAGACCCTGTCTCAGGACAAAAAGTAAAAACACCTTACATGCATACATTTTTTTTTTTTTTTTTTTTTTTAGCTTTTTTCGAGACAGGGTTCTCTGTGTAGTCCTGGCTGTCCTGGAACTCACTCTGTAGACCAGGCTGGCCTCGAACTCTGGAACTCAGAAATCCGCCTGCCTCTGCCTCCCAAGTGCTGGGATTAAAGGCGTGCGCCACCGCCACCCGGCACATGCATACGTCTTAAACTTCAAATATCTTTCCCAAATTACAAGTTTTATGTGTCTGCATATTGTAAGATTATTTAACTTTCATTATGGAGCCGTGGCTTTTAATGAAAGTAGCACTAAGTCAGTAGGAGAGGCTCCCGTGAACATAGCAAGAATTGTTGGCCAGTGCAGCTGTCATGGTTGTTTAGTAAGAGATGAGATTCAAATTCACTCCCTTTGAACCTAGGAAAAGCTAATTGTGCTGAATCTTCAGGGAGAGAAGAAGAAGCCAAAACTGCTTACCAGATTAGACTGCCCATAGCCAGGGGCAAAGGAGGCATACTCAGGGTAATAGGGCATGGTGACCTCCTCTTCCATGCCACTTTCCAGAGCAGAAACTTGGGTGGCCCAGCATTCACCTGAGGACCCAGGGTCACATGGTACACCACAGAGCATGGGTGCATACAAGACACTCCAGAGAGGAAGACATCCTTCTGAGGAAACCACTTTGCCCCTCTCTCCAAGGGAGTTAATTCCTGCCTTAGACCATTGTTTCCAAAGTTAAAACTTGAATTAAAAAGTGACTGTTTTGAAGCAAAGAAAATTACAAAGTCATTTGAGTAGTTGAACAACAGTTTTCCTAGAGGTTACTGGGAATATGAACTTAGGAAACAGTTTGTGTGGCGATCTCTGGAGTTTGGGAGATCTCAAGACAACATAACTTACGGTTCAGAAGGATTCTTCTGAAAGCTATGGGCTTGGGTGCTCAGGTATCCTATATACTCAGATGTGCCCTGAGCATATACATCCCGGCTAGCTGCTGGTGTTTTGTTGTTTAGGTGATTGGTTGGTTTTTGTTTTGCCTTTTTCTCTTTCGGTGGTGTTTTGTTTGAGGGCAGAAGCACAGAGATAGTGTGATGGCCCTCACGTTGTAGTCGTAGCACTCAGGGACCAAGCCAGAAGGATCACAAGTTTGAGGTCGACCAGGTCTACGTAGCAAGTTCCAGTTCAACACGGACCACATAGAGAGATCCTGTAATCACTACAACAAAGGTAAAGAAAAGCACAGAAAGGCAGAAGAAGCCACTGATGGCCTCTGACACTTCTGCTTACCATCTTTCTTTTCTTTCCCTGTCACCTAACCTCTTGCTGTATAGCTAGGGCCTGACTGAATGTAGTTCTTAACTAGTCTAGGGAAAAACATGCCTCAGGCTAAATTTGGCACTAAGTGTTCAAAACTTTCACTGTTTTTAGAAAGACTGGATTACAGGCATAGGTCCTTGTTACCATCCACCTGCTGCTTCAGGTGGTACTGGCCGAGCGTGCCACCTACCTTCACTGCTCTTTGTTTTCCTATGAACTGACTGGAAGAGTCTCTTGGGTTTTGGTTCTTCCAGTCTTCTTCCTTTTCCATCTTGCAAAGTGACAGGACAGACTGCTTAGGTGTTCTTACTAGGAAGAGGCTCCTGAAGGGAGTGACTAGAGCTATACCTGATTGTTGAAGGAGAGTAGGCAGACTCTGCAGTGGGCCTGCACAGAGTGAAGCCATTTCTGGCCCAACCCTAGCACTGATTAGTATTTACCTGGACTCCTCTTCCTGCCCCTGCAGCTGTACTGGATCCAGAGCCTCAGCTACCTACCTCATCCAGGAGACAGACTCCTTTTCACCTCTCTTCTTGAGTTGGAAAGTCCCATTACTTTCCCACTGTCCCACCTTTCTGTTCATCCTTCTTATAAGAAAGATAAAGTCAAGCTTTATCTGGCCATGGATGTGGCACTGAGAGGGGAGAAGGGAGCAGAGCAAACTTCCTGTGTGGTCACTTCAGTATGTGGCATATGTAGAAGAGGTGTCATCTGAAATGCAGACTTAGTGACACAGCACACCAGCTAAGAGTTCAGAAAGAACCCTTGGACACCACCTTCTTCTTTCCTCTGTGGTACCACTAAGATTCCGTAGCATCTTTTCTTGGCCTCTGTGTCAACTCAAAGGAATCTGTCCTTTGAAAGGTTTGTATGCAGCTTAAAAAGACAGTTGCCTATTGGTTAGCCTTGTGTTCAGCACCTTAGAAGAAAACAGTTGGTAATGGTCATAAAGTTGATAAGGGTCATATGTATTAGAAAAGAGCCAGTGGACTTGGGAAATCATGTCAGTTTTCTCCAGTTCCCTGAGAGCAACTCACTCGTCTCTTGGTGTACAGAATAGTTGATGTCTAGCTGTGAAACTCTCGGTCGCTTGCTTCCAGCAGCCAGTAACAGGAGGGAATGACCCTGTGGTTGCCTGAAGATACTCCCCCTTTGGTGTTTGTTTACTAGGGACCAGTTGCCTAGTTCAACGTAGCAGAGATGTTAGAGAAGAAGAGCAGTTAAGGCCGTGGCATTACAGCGACCCTCGAAAATGAATAGGGAATTGACTTGAGAAGCCCACGGAGTGAGAGTTCTTTACTTCAGAGTTCCTAGCACATTGAAATGCAAAGCCCTGGGCTAGGGCAGCAATGACTGAACCTTAAGGTCCCCACTAGGGAAACCCATGAGATTTCTGAGATTCTGGTGCTGTGGCCTTCTGAGCTGTGGCTAGATTTCTAGTGTAAGAAAGGTTTTCAGGACTGCCTGCACCCAGTAAAAGGGACATAAGACACATACTGGGAAAACCCCAAGCTCCCATGTTCCTCCTTCAGGAAAGAACTTTCTGATCCAGGGTACCAGGATACACTCTGGAGATGCAGTTCTGTTTTAAGTGGGGCTTGTGGGTGGAGTTGGATTTGTTTATTGGACGGTCTGATTGTGTCTTCCTCCTCCCTGTTTGACCTGCCCACTTGCCATTGGGTCCCTGTTGTCCTGCCTTATAAAACTGTGTTTCAGGATTTCTTTTTTTTTTTTTTTAAGATTTATTTATTTATTATATATGAATACACTGTAGCTGTCTTCAGACACACCAGAAGAGGGTATCACATCTCATTACAGATGGTTGTGAGCCACCGTGTGGTTGCTGGAATTTGAACTCAGGACCTCCAGAAGAGCAGTCAGTGCTCTTAACCACTGAGCCATCTCTCCAGCCCGTTTCAGGATTTCTTAGAGTTTATATATACAGGCAAATGCATACCTATGTAGCCTTTCTTCTCTATTTGTGTACCAGAGATTGTCAGTTGATCTTGTAGATGTCGTCATATAAGCTTCTCCTTTTTTCTCTTTAAAGCTACAGTATCCCACTGTGAGAATGTGCATGCATTAATATTTTACCTGCACTGGGGCAGTTACTAACCTTTTACCTTGCCAAGCAACAGGCTGGAAGTTTTTGCACGGACTTGGAAGGCAGGCTGCCATTTGGCTTTGGACTGGCAGGGAAGGGCTGGGTCTGCAGAGCGGGTCAAGTCCTCCCCCATATGTGTGTGCTTATATCTAGATGGTCCATGTATTGAATACTCTATTTTCTCCCATTTTCTCTTTCAGGGACAATTCAAGCTTTCGAAATACAAAAATCACATTGTGAAAGCGCACAAGCTGGCAGTAATCCTTTTCTGTTTGTGTGTCTGTCTGAATTGGATGCGAGGCTCAGGCAGCTCTTCTGTCTGTTCACTGAAGGGGTGTACCTAAGCCACGTGCTCCCCTTCTGCACTCGTTCCTGGAACATGGACTCTGCTAGACACCTTCCAGCATTGCTGACCTTATAAGCGAGAAGAATGGGAATATGTGACTATGTAACAGACAAACACTTTAAGTGCAGTTCTGTGCGGGAGTGCAGCTGTCTTCTTGCTGTGTACTCTCCAGGTGCCTCTTGGCATCCTGCTGTGTGAAGGACTTGATGACTGACCACACCTCTGTGCCCTGTGCTGGGTCTGAGCTGAACGTTATCAGTATTATGAATGCTTGCACATCCAGGAACAGCCTCTGCATAGAGCTGAAGAGAACCAAAAGCCTCTTCCAGCTCTACTGTTAAGTTATTGTGTGTTCCTCTCCCCTAAGCCCACCACCACTTTGAACATGTGTTAAGATATGATGACAGCCTAGGATTCTGTGTCCTTTGCGCCTTACACCTCCAGTGGGACTCTTCTTAGGCACTGCAGCACTTAAGTCGTGATCCCGGGCAGCACAGGTTTGCTGAGGAAGCATCTGCCCTGTAAGACAAGCTGGAGAAGGATGCGGTTCAGTCAGAAGCCAGCTCATAGTGCAGGTCCCACGTGTGGGGTTGGGGCTGAGGGCAGTGACTGGAACCAGCCTCCCATGTGAGCAGGACTTGTGTGCTGGGCACGCTCTGTGGGGCATGTCTGTCATGGAGGAGGAAGCAATGGCTGTTTAGTGCCACATTAAAACTGTAGGTCCCACAGTGCTGAAATGAATAACTGAAGAAATGGCAGCCTTGCTGAATGCTTCATTTGATGGCTGTGTCTGTCAGCTGTGGTTGGAAAAGACTTTTGGTCCTTGACACCTGGATGTAGACAAATTGTCCAGATCCTTCAATGCCCAGAAGGCTTCTACAGGCATGTCTTAATCAGAGAGGCTGACCTTGGGAGCCTGAGGCCAGAGAGGTCAAAAGAGCACCCACGATCAAGGAAGAAATGGGCAGCTGCAGCAGCTTCAAGTGCTCTGTGCCGGGCTCCTGGGAGCCAAGATGGCAGTACCTTAAATTAAGGCCTCTGTTTAAAGCATATCCCTGAAGCCTGGGTGGGGTTCCTTGGCCACAGGTCTCAGGAACTCTAAAGGTAACAGCATCTCCTTGTATCCATCCTACTCTTCCAGCTTCCCAGCTCCTGCCCCTCCAGTCGCTGTGTCTGGGGATGCCTTGCCCTGAAAGAACAGTACAGGGCCAAGAGGGAAGGTGTTTCCGCTGCGGGTGAAGCCATCTGAGAAGAAAGTCCAACAGCAATCGAAGCTCCAGGAATCTGAAGAATGCATTCTGGGGTGGTTGTGAAGGGCTCAGCAACACCAGAGCATCATTGGCTGTCAAGGATGCGAAGGCTCCTCTGGAGGCTTGACTAAGCAGGAGGCCTCCACATTTGCCTATGCTCATGTCGCCTTGAAAATTCCAAAGAGCAGACATTTGGACTTGCCTTCCTTTGGGGCATCTCTCTGGTGTGTGTGTGTGTGTGTGTGTGTGTGTGTGTGTGTGTGTGTGTGTGTGT